TCGCCAACATTTGTTGTTTTGTGTTTTTTTGATAGAGGCCAATCTCACTGGGGTTAGGTGATACCTCATTGTGGTTTCGATTTGCATTTCTCTAATGATTAGAGATGTTGAGCATTTTTTTATATGTTTGCTGGCCATTATTCTGTCTTCTTTTGAAAAGTCATGAGTTCCATTTTTTTAGCTCCCACGTGTGAGTGAAAACATGCGATATTTGTCTTTCTGTGCCTGGCGTATTTCACTTAACTTAATGTCCTCCAGTTCCATCCATGTTGCAAATGACAGAATTTCATTGTTTTTTATGGCTGAACAATATTCCATTATGTATATATACCACATTTTCTTTATCCATTCATGTGTGAACTACTTTTTAAAGCTATCGCATCAAAGCTAAGTGGTATTTTAGAAGTACTTACTAATGTTTGTAATATGTCTAACAAAATTTAACTCTTTTCTTCCAGGTAATTTATCCTCAACATTCCAAACTTACTGACAAAGAAGTAAGTAGAAATATTGCTCTGTATACTCTACTGTTATATTTCTGTTTGTTTTTATTGGTTATGTGTGTGTGTCAGCATATATAGCTTTTGTTTTCTTTTTCAGAAAACCAATATTTGCTATTTGTCTTTTCCAGATTCAAATTCAGGTAACTATTTTTCATGTGGTGTTTGTGTTGAATTTTGTACTAAAAATCTTATTATATGAAAATTGATTGAAATTGCATATTAGAAAGCAAACTCAATTTCTCAATCTGCCAAACAGATCAGTGATTTTCGTTCCTAGTTCAGTGATACCCAGTCATGTCATTGTTGATTATAGTTGGTTCAACTCTTAAAATAACTGTTATGGTATGATGAGGTAAATCATCAAGGAACAATAAACTGTCGAAATAGTGAAGAGATTGAAAATCAGTGACATTGGTATGTTTGGGATTTATGTAGTATGTGGTTTACTTTCAGTTTGGAATTTGGGAGCTTGCCAGGAACTCTGTAAAAGAAGTGAGCTTAAAAAAAAACAACAGGGTAAATCCAATTAGGAAGTATGGCTATCAATTATTTGCAATAGTTTGTATGGGTTAATATATGTAAAGCGCTGGGAATAGTGCTTGGTGTACAGAAAACCCATGTAAATGTTTGCTTATTGGTAAGCTTGGTTTTCCTGGTCTCTTTCAAACTCTCCCCTTGTGTGGTCCTAATAGTTGACATATTTCAGGTAACCTCTGTTTCACTTTCGAAACAGCTTCTTTGGCTTATAGTGACCAGGCCATTCAACTTTTAGGACCACACACAATTATAACCCTATAAAGCAGAGACACTGCAGTTCTTTTTCCTTTTAATATCCT